CCCCAAAACCCCAAAACCCCAAAACCCCAAAACCCCAAAACCCCAAGCAAAACCCGAGATTGATTTAACTGTTGCCACCAAATACTCATTTTGTTAAAACTTAATTTGTAGCTTATCTGATGTATGGAATGAAAAACTGAGTTTAAGAATCTTCTGGATCTTTGTAAGCTTCAAGAATGTTGCTGAATGGGAGTATAGGAGGGTCTTCAGCTGACTCAATGGATTCATCGACGTAGTGGTTGTCGTTAAATGATAAGTCTATCTTTTCAGTTCTTTCAGAATTTTTGAATAGGTTTTGCATGTCTCTAATTTTAAACAAGCATGATGTAAATATTAGCTCCTTTTCGGCTTTACACTGATCAATGAGTCTATTAAATTGAGCTTGATCCATGCTGAAGTTGCTTATTTCCAAAGCTTCTTTGACATTGGCACTTACTTCGAGTATTGCATCTAAGAATGAATCAATTGATAAGAACTCAGGAGAAATTATGCTGGACCATTTACAGTTTTGGACTTTATCTGGGAAGTACTCATTAATAAACTTGAAGAAGCCTTCAGGAATTTCATTGCCGACTTGGAACTCAACAAACTGCAAGTTTTGAAGTTTGCTAGTGCAGTCATGGAAGAAAGCTTGGTCTTGCTCTGAGCACAAGTTGAAAGATACAGATGATCCTTCGGGAGGATAGCTAATTTCATAATCAGAGTTTTGGCTGCCAGTTTTCATGTGCATATCAGACTTTGATTCTTCTATAACCTCTTCCTTGGGTCCTTCAGTGTCCTCTGCTATTGAATTACTTCTAGGACTATGCATTTGTTGTTCTTCATCCTCTGATATTGGCTATAACAATTAAAATTAGACTACCAGCTCATTATGGTATGACGACGACTCCATTGAAGCGTTGCTAAATGAATTCCTGAGATTTTGTTGGACAATTTTACTAGTTTGAAAAGTATCAGTCCTAGACTTCGAGCTTGATAAGGAGTAAATAAATGCAGGAGAAGATTGATTCTCTGAATTTGAGATCAGACTCTTTTTGCCTTCGTTGCAAATCTTATTGATAGGGTACTCTTCTCCCTCTTCTCTGTATATTCTCTTTATATCTTGATTTAATTCGTCTTCATAACTTTTTGGTTCAGGTGCTTCAATAAAACTTCTTTTGTTATTTTTATTCGGTACTCATAAATCTTCCATCTCAGATGTAATCCCAGTACTTTGGAAATGATTTTGATTCCTCTTAACTGTTTCACATATGCGACTGTCTTCATGATCAGCATCTTCTTCAATAATCTCTCGATGTTTCTCTGCTCCTTTTCTTTCTCTTTTTGGCATTTGAAGTTTTTGAATACAATTATGTTTGTCCGACTGAGTTGCAAATTTAGGAGAATAGCAACCAAAATTGCTCATATCTGAAACCTGATTTGAATTATTTTCTCTAACTTTGGAAATTCCTCTAACTCTCTTTCCTTTTTCTTCATCAAAAACTTTCTTCTGGTTAAATTTAGGAACTTTAGCATTTAATTCATTTAACCCTGAAATTCTTTTCCTAAGCCTAGTATTTTCCAATTCCAAATTTTGGATCTGCTTCTCCAAGAGGACTAGTTGTTCCTGAAGTTTGTCTTTATTCTGATATTTGTTGTTAAAATAGTACAAATACATTTCGTTATTAGAAAAAGATTGATACCAATTGTTTTCTCATAACTCCTCCCACAGTTTGTCTCTGCTTTTATCTATCTCTTGCTTATCACTGTTTTCTAAAACAGCTCCAGCACCGTGAAGTTTCTTAAGGTTCTTGTCGATTTCTTCCTGAATTTTTGAGAAAAATGCTTTAAACTCATATTCTTCAAGTTTACTTTTCGGCTTCTGTGCTGCGAACTCCATTATATCATTTACTGCCCTATTTAAAGTATTGAAGTGACCGACTTTAGATTCTAGATCTGAAATGAAGGACTTCATCCCTTCAGGAATAATGATCTGACTAGTATGGTTATGACATGTCTCTTGTCTAAGAGTGGCCTCACCCATAGAGAAATCCTCATGATTGCCCTCGCTTTCCATATTGATTTATTCTTTTATATATCCTCAACTTAAATATTAACCCCTGGGGTTTTGGGGTTTTGGGGTTTTGGGGTTTTGGGG